AGTGAGAGAAAGAATTTTAATATTTATTTTTTAGTTATCGGCGGACATAACACCATTGTTTGTATGTGGTGCTGAGGATCGAACCCGGGCCTCACGCATGCCAGGCAAGCGCACTACCACTTGAGCCACATCCCCAGCCCCTGGACACTGGTTTTAAAGTCCCAGTTCCAACATGTACTAGCTAATTCTGGGCAAGTTAATTCACCTCTCTGTGAATTAACTTGAAAATGGAGACAGTATTTCTCATTGTTTTGTGAGAATGAAATAACCTGAAAAATGCTTAGAATTTACATGCCTGGAGGATAGTGAAAACTCATTATTAGAAAGCACCTCTTGTGAAAAGCAAAATTCATTGCTGTCTGGGAACCATTTTTTCTGCCAGCCCCTAAGATTGAAATATTCTCTTATTCCCACATCTGATTTCTCGTTTGGGTCTCTAGCCAAATAGTACTTTTTAGAAGTGTCCTATTAATCACTCATTTGTTACTTTCTCCACTCTCCCATCCCTTAGCAGTTTTCCTTTTTTCAGGTATAGTCTTGCTGGCCAGCACGGCAGACCCATTCAAGTTAGGCCTTGTCTGCCCTCAGCATTGCCATTTTATTCAGTGTCAGGCATCCACAGAACCTCATTAAATTTGTGCAGAGTCATATTATGCTCCCCTGAGACAGTAAAATCCCTGAGGCCTGGAAGGTCAGATTCTTTCAACCCCAATATTCAGAGAGGAACGCAACAGAATCTAGCCTCTCATTTTCTTCCCCATGGAGATATTAGAATCTCCAGAAGCTAAACCAGGGAGGTATAGCAAGAAGAGGGCAAATAAAAGGTTCTTTCTTCCCCTCCCAAGGGGCAAAATTTCTAAGAATAAGTAGCCCTGAGAGATAAGAGTGCACTCCAGGGGCTACAGCAAAGTCCCCAAGCCAACTGGCAAACTCCATGTTGCCCACTCATCATGTTCTTCACAAATTGGTCTTTTTTTTAAACTGGGGATCGAACCCAAGGCTTTCTGCATGTGAGGTGAGTGCTTTGCCACTAAGCTACATACATCCCAGTCCTCAAGTTCATCTTTTGAAAATAACTCACATGGTCAGTCCATGGTTCAGACACCTATCTCCCTAGCTGGCCGCCAAGAGCAAACTAACACTGATACCTGTCTTCTCATTTTGGTTCTTTATTTAAAATGGACCAAATTTGACACTGCAGGTATACTTTTGCTATCCAGAACAAAGAATGATAAAAATATAACCTGAGTTGCAAGTCTTAATTTGAATTAGCTGGCAGATCAGTTGCCAAATGACTAATGGAACACTGGGCCTGTTGTTGATGAAATGAAAGAGATCCTGGCCTATACTAGATGCTAAAGAAATTTGCCATTCCCAGAGCCTGCACTCACACCTAATACAAATTAACTTAGAAATACTGAAAACAAGGCTGGGGATGTAGCTCAGTTGGTAGAGTGCTACCCTTGCATGCACTAAGGCCTTGGGTTCAATCCCCAGCACCACCAAAAAAAAAAAAAAAAAAAAAAAACCTGAAAACAAATGAATGTGCCAAGAAGTTATGTCATCTGCACTTTGGTGAATGCTTATTACTCAATGAATGTATAAACTTTGAAGTGCTCAAAAACTATAAACTAAATTTCTAAAAACAATCCCTGCCTGCATTGACACTTGGGAAAATTCACTTATTTAAAAATTTGCTTGGCTGTGAATTTCAAGTTCCACCTGGAAAACAAGAGTGTAATGAAAGGTTAGTGCTACCTTTCTGTTTCTTTCCTACATCCACATATATGCCTCAAAACACAGATACTTTTAAGTGAAAAAATCTTATTAAACGAAATATATATCCAAGAATTAATTAAGCTGAAACTGGGAATATATACGATTAGTGAAAGATTAGCATTTAGATTATATGTTGTTTCTGAACATAAGAACGAACACATAGTTAAGGAAAACATGACTGGTGATACACATGGAAAGCTGTAAAACTAAGCAGTGAGCAGGAATTTAAAATTAAGAGTACAATAAAATACTACTTAACAAACAGTAGACAGCTCAAAACTAAGAAGTTCAAAAACATAAGATAATGTTGAAGATGTAGAAATTATTCCCACTATTAAATTCTAAATGGTACAATATTTAAAAAAAATATTTTTTAGTTATACATGAACACAATATCTTTAATTTTTTTTTATTTTTTTTATGTGTGCTGAGGATCAAACCCAGTGCCTCACACATGCCAGGCAAGTACTCTACCACTGAGCCCCTAAATGGTACAATATTTTGAGAAGCTGTTTGGCATTATATAAAGTTGAAGTCAATGATGAAGGTTATTCTCATGGCTGTCCCTTGGAGAAACTCTTGTATATATGATACAGGAAATATATTTATTGCAGAATTGTTTTCAAATCAAAACAGCTTGAAATAAATGTATCAAAAATTATGATCTACTAACATAACAACATATTAACAGCAGTGAAGTGAAAGAGCTCCAAGTACATACCACATTTAATTTTTAATTATACAAATAACACATATTCAATGTAGGAAAATAAGAACATCCAGATAATCAATGGCATTATGTATACCCTATACCCTTGTGGATTTTTCCTTTGGATATACATATGTATATTTTGTTACAGTAATTCATGCCCCTGAAGAAACCCCCCGTTAACAAAAATCCAAGCAAAAAATAAAGTTAGAATGTCCTTAATTTTAATATCCCAGGTGCAAATTTATATTATGTACAAATCTATGTGCATTCATTCCCCCCTCCTTTTTTTTTTTTTTTTTTTGAGTGCTGGGGTTTGAACCCAGGGCTTTGTACATGCTAGGCAAATACTCCTCCACAGTGCTACATCCCCAACCCTCTTTACAATTCTGACATTTAAAATCTCAGCTGATGCTGGGCGTGGTGGCACAAGCCTGTAATCCCAACAACTCATGAGTCGATAACAGGAAGATTGCAAGTTTGAATCCAGCCACAAGGCCAATCTCAGCAACTTAGTGAGAACTTGTCCCCCTCAAAATAAAAAGGGGTGGAGATGTAGCTCAGTGGCCAAGTGCCCCTGGGTTTAATATCCATTAACAACAAAAACAAAAAAACCGCCAAACAACAACAAAAACTCAACTGATGCTGTTAGAATACCACTAAAAGATTCTTTTTTTTTTTTTTTTTGCAGTGATGGGGCTTACACTCAGGGCTTTGCTCATGTTACCACTAAGCTTCACTCCAGCCCTGAAAAGACTGGCCTTGAACTTTCCATCCTCCCGTCTCAGCCTTCCCAGCTATTGGGGTTAAAGGGTGTGTACCACTGTGTCTGGCAAGATTTCACTTTTAACTCAGGACTTGACTCAGGCATGCTCCTGATAAAGGGCCAAGTATTCTTTTTTGTTTTTCCCTTCATTAAAAAACGCAGCTGTCTACTACTGCATCCTTTGAAGATTTGCATTCTCTGCTGATTTGGCCACAAGCTCTTCACATACAGTTACTTTTTAGTAAATTCTTCATTCATTCTGGCGTTCTTGAAAATATTCATCAAACAAAGAGGAAGACTCATCTTCATGTTCCTGACACAAAGGAAAAACAAAACAGAAAATACATTCATTTATTTCCTCTCACATGTGTTTACATATTATTCAGGTAATGCTCGATATGGAACTAAGAACCAGGAAGGACCAGTTCCAGGTGTTGCTCATAGGTAATCATCAATGGTTAAGAAAAGGCATAATTGATAGAATTTTCCCAGATATGTGGTAAGCTGATGTGCTTATATCTCATCAGAAGCATTTCTCACTTAAATTTATATTCACAATGATTCTCAGCTAATTTGCTGAGATAGTGTTCTGCTGACGACTATCATTAGTCTCTTCACTGATGTGTGAGAGCAGCCCAAGTTCAAATGGATTTCATCTCCTCTTTGTACATACTCCCAAGCTCTGAGTTCAAAGACTTAATTCAATAGCAATGCCTCAATAAAAGGCAGAATAAGGGCTGGGGTTGTGGCTCAGTGGTAAAGCGTGTGCTTAGCATGTGTGAGGTACTGGGTTCAATCCTCAGCACCACATAAAAATAAAGAAAGGTTTAAAAAAATAAATAAAAGGCAGAATAAAATTGACATCACTTGCTGAGCACAGATGTCAATTTTGGAGATTATCCAGAAAAGCTCAGGCAACTGCTACCACTAAGACAAAACCCTAAGGAATTGCCTGGGTTATGTGAGGGGTCAATGAGTACTGGCAAATATTTTCACCAAAAAAAAAAAAAAAAAAAAAAAAAAAAAAATCAGAAATTACCTTGGGTTCTTTAAATTCTAAGTCTTCTCCATACTGAATGGCAAAATCAATATGCTGTAATACAATGTTCATGCTTTCTTCATCTGACTGATCGTAAGGTAGAAATCGAACCATGCTGTAGTCATCAATCTACAAATAGGAGATTTCAAAAAAGGTTCATTCTGAAGTTGGGCAAAACATGTAACTTTCAACTTAGATATGAGTTTTTATAACTATTTGTACTTCTGATTAAAAATATTTGTATTTCAGATATAGAGGAGGGACAGCCAGAGACAAGAGTAACAAATTGTTTACTGGTTCTCCCGAGCTCTGACCAGCGAGCACACACACTGGCTCATCACTTCATTGCACACTGTTTCAGGGGATTTATCTGAATTCAACACCCGCTGAAATGTCAAAAAGAGAACAAAGAGTTGTCAACTGCCAAATGGCTTGAAATAGTAGGCATATTTTATTAATTTATTGACCACTGATAGTAACTTTTTCTAAATTAAACTGCTGACAGGCCTGCCCATACTCCCTCCCACCCTTCTTCTCTATGCAGGAAGTAGTGTTGGTCTGTGCTTCCCAGAAGGGAGGTCACTGACTAGATGTGGGCAAACACATGGAAAGGTGGAAGAAACCCAAAGCCCTACACTTCAAAAGCTTACCAGTCCACAAATTGCTTTCGTCAACTTTTTGAATTTTTTGCTTCTAAAATCACTTGTCGAATCTTTTAAGAAGGAGTACATGTCTGGGTCTAGAAACCTTTAAAAGGTGAGGAAGAAGTCTGATGAATAAAAGGAAGAATAAATCAGGAAACTAGATTTACAGACTGACAGAACCTCTCATTCCCATAAAACAGAAGGTCTGTCTCTTCAACTGAAATCTGATGGTAACAGAAGAACAATGAACTCACTTCTCAATTTCCTTTTTAGCTTTCTTACTCAGCAGATCCATTTTCGTCATGATGTTAACTTGTGGAATTTCTAGAGATATCATAGCACTCAGGGCTGCTAAGATGCCAGAAATAAACTGGAGGAGGAAACAGAAAAGGGAAGATGAATCAACTGTTCCCAACAAGTCTCCAAATAGACAGGCTTCTACTCCTCCCTTCCAGGGAGAAAACTGGCCCTAGTAAAAGATGTGCTAATATTAAAGAGAAAGACCACTCAATCAGATGATTGAACCTCAGCTCCCAAAGGTGAGGATACTAAGGGAAGATGTGGCTTTAATCTACGGTGATCACATATCTCAATTTAGACAGTATTATCAACCTCCTTACTCATCTAATACTCAAGAGCTATTAATGATAAATAAATCTTGATTTAGTTCATAAACTGAACAAGAGATCCTCAGAAAATTTTAAAAAGGCTATTTTGTTGTTTCTTATTTATTATTTTTTTGTAGTTGTAAATAGACATCATGCCTTTATTGTATTTGTTTATTTTTATGTGGTGCTGAGGATTGAACCCAGTGCCTCACAAGTGCTAGGCAAGCGCCCTGCCACTGAGTTACAGCCTCAGTCTCTATTTTATTATTTTTAAAAATACATTATCGGGCTGTGGTTGTGGCTCACTGGTAGAGCACTTGCCTAGCATGCATGAGGCACTGGGTTCAATTCTCAGCACCACATAAACGAATAAAATAAAGGTTCATCAACAACTAAAAAATAAAGTATTAAAAAAAAGTACATGGGGCTGGGGATGTGGCTCAAGCGGTAGCGTGCTCGCCTGGCATGCGTGTGGCCCGGGTTCGATCCTCAGCACCACATACAAAACAAAGATGTTGTGTCCGCCGATAATTATAAAATAAATATTAAAACTCTCTCTCTCTCTCTCTCTCTCCCTCTCTCACTCTTTCTTTTTTTTTTAAAAAAAGTACATTATTTCATTGCTTCTTGATCTTCTGGCTAAGATCAAGTGTAATTAGCATAGTAGCTTTCTTTTTTAATCAGTTTACTATCAGACACATTCTCTATCAGATAATACATGAAATGGATTTTTGGAGCAGGGAGATGGGATAGGAGCTTTCTCCATCCACTCCAGGCATCAACACAGTACGTCCAGGAATGGTGCACTCTACCCTATTCTTGCAGTTATTAAAAGCAGGTTGCTGTTGGTTTCTCTTAAAAACAACAACAAAAAAACATTATTTAAAAAAATAACCCATCTATCTCAATTTTCTTTCATAAGCAGTTCCCTAAAATCTCTGAATCATCATTTACTATTTTTGAGTTTAAATATATCAGCAATAATAATTTAACAAATATTAAGTGACTCTGAAATAGTCTGTGAAATATCCAGAATCATACAATAATCAAAAAGGGATAGTCATCAGTTTACATTCGTGATTGAAAAATTCTCAACAGATTTATCCTCAGACCTTGAATGACTCCACCATGAACTGAGAATCAACAAGAAAAACTCCACACACTCGGAATTCCCACTGCTCCAGTTGCTGGACCAGCTGTTTCATCACAGGCAGGTGAGTGTACAGCTCAATCTGACCTACAGGAAGAACACCATGAGAACAGTACAACCTACAGGAAGAACACCATGAGAACAGTACAATCAGGAATAGGGTATTTCATCACAGAGAGAACATAAATTTTCCCCAAAGATGGGGAAGTCAGTCCTGAGTAACAATACATTCAATTTTTAAGAGGTCTTATAGTCTTTCAGAGTAGTCATCAAAACTTAAGATGAATTTTAGCAAATTTCAAACAGACTACCCAGTTTTATGTAGAAAATAAAATTCTTCACACTTTGGTATGTGAGTACGCATGAGGTAGGTACTAGATAGAGATTGAACCCAGTGGCACTCTACCACTAAACTACACCCCTAGCCCTTTTTTTTTTGGAACTGGGGACTCAACTCAGGAGCACTCAGCCACTGAGCCACATCCTCAACTCTATTTTGTATTTTATTTAAAGACAGGATCTCACTGAGATGCTTGGCACCTCGCTTTTGCTGAAGCTGGCTTTAAATTCAAAATCCTCCTGCGGCAGCTTCCCCAGCCACTGGGATTACAGGCCACAATGCCCAACTCAGCCCTTCTTATTTTGAAATAGGGTCTTATTAAATTGCCTAGGCTGGTCTCAATACTCCTGAGTAGCCGGATTATAGGCATGCACCACCACACCCAGGCACACTTCAGTTTTTTTGCCAATCAAAAGTGAGTTCAATTCACAGTAGCTGAACCATGGAACCAACCTAGATGCCCTTCAATAGATGAATGGATAAAGAAAATGTGGTACATATACACAGTGGAATATTACTCAGCCATAAAGAATAATGAAATTGCCCTAGGTTCAATCCTCAGCACCACATATAAATAAACAAAGATACTGTGTCCATCTACAACTAAAAAAATTTTAAAAATAATGAAATTAGGGCATTTGCTAGTAAATGGATGGAACTGGAGACTATTATGCTAAATGCAACAAGCCAATCCCAAAAAACCAAAGGCCGAATGTTTTCTCTGATATGTGGATGCTGACTCACAATAGGTAGGGTGATTCTGGTTACATTGTCTTACACTCCACTGGACTGTGACTCCATGAGAGCAGAGCCCATGGCTCCCTTGCTGTCTATGACATTCCCTGCATACAAAGCAAGCACTTGATGAACTCGATGAATAATGACAGACAACAAGTAAGAGATTGGTGACTTATTTTTTAGTTTCTTTCTTTCTTTTTTTTAGTTGTAGATGGTCACAATATCTTTATTTATTTATTTTAATGTAGTGCTGAGGATCGAACCCAGTAGCTCACCTGTGGAGGCAAGTGCTCTACCACTGAGCTATAGCCCCAGCCCGAGCTTGGGTATAGTCTGTAGCTACAAATACTATACTATACTATACCTCTGCTGAGGTCACAATTATCACAGCCTCAAGAAAACAACACATTCAAATTGCTGACTTACCTGGGCAATCAAAAAGAATGTAGTCGTCCTCTACATGGCCCAGACAGTTCTCTAGCCAGTCAAAATTATTGGCAAAGTACTCCATGCAAAATACCAATCCTCCATTGGGACCAAACCTTAGAGAATCATCCTCCATCACATCATCCACCTCGATCAGTTCCCGGATGTCTAAAAAGGGCAGACAAGCCCTAAATCTAAGCATCCACTCAAAAATGATTGCCCACCACCATAATAATGATTAATTTTCAAAATCATACATATGAAGTTATTTATGTACATGGTTTTGTATTGCAGCAGTGTCCATCAATAGGGAACTGAGCAAATAAATTAAGGTATAGCTAGACATGGCACAGTGAAATATTATGCAGCTCTTTAAGTACTAATATAATCTCTTGGGTATGTTATTAAGTGAAAAATGAAAGGCACAGAACTCTGTGCAAGAATATCATCAATGCTGGGTGCGGTGGCACACGCCTGTAATCCCAGAGACTCGGGAGGCTGCAGTGGTAGGACTGTGACTTTAAAGATAGCCTCAGCAAAAACGAAGTGCTAAGCAACTCAGTGAGATCCTGTCTCTAAATAAATGCAAAATAGGGCTGGGGATGTGGCTCAGTGTTTGAGTGCTACTGAGTTCAATCCCCAGTACCTCACCCCCCCCCCCCCCCCCCCGAACAAAAAAAAAAAAAATATATCATCAAGCTGGGGATGTGTACCAGTGACTCAGGAGGCTGAGGAAGAAGAATCGCAAGTAAGGGGAGAGCCTTTGCAACTTAGTGAGACCCTGTCTCAAAATAAAAAATAAAAAGGGCTGGGGAATATAGCTATAGTGGTAAAGCGCCCTTTTTTCAATTGCTAATACTGGGGGGGGGGGAGGAAAAAAATACATACATAGACTATTTATGGAAGGGTACAACTGAAACTGAAAATATTGGTTTTCTCCAGGGAGGGGGTTTTGGTTTCTGGGACAGAGCTGGGAGGGAGATATTTTCTTGTACGCTTATTCTTTTATAYCTTTTGTATTTTGAATCATGTAAATATGTTATTACCTACTTCAAAAAAAGTAAAACAAAAAAAAAGCCAACAGTCTCTTAACACGATGACCCTAGGCAAGCTACCCAATCTCCCTGAGCCTCATTTTCCTTTTGCTGAGATGGGAAATAGAGATAGGAATCACACATCCTGGGATAGAAGGATGAGAATTATATGAAATAAATCACCTACAGGAAGGGCTTAAAAATTCTGGTATATGTATGTTATCTTAAGTTTCAGAAATCAATATACATAATTTCCTACCTTAGGTTTTCACTTATTTGTGTGATCAAACCTATAATTTCTGTTCACAGTTCTCTGTGAACAGATATTTCATCCACAAGCACAGTTTTTTTTTTTTGTTACTGAGGCTAAACCCAGAGGCACTTGCTTAACCACTAAGCCAGATCCTCAGCCCTTTCATATATTTTACTAGAGACAAAGTCTCAATGAGTTGCTTAGGACCTCGCTAAATTGCTGATACTGGCTTTGAACTTGCAATCCTCCTGCCTCAGTGTCCTGATCTGCTGGGAATATAAGTGTGTGCCACTGAGCCCAGCTCACAAGCACATTTATAGTGATAACACCTTCCTAACCGTTACTTCAGGAATAAACAGCCAACCCAAGACTGGACAATAAAACTGATCTTCTAGGAAGATAAACTAAGGAGACACTAGTCAGTCAGTAAAACACTTGGGCCAGAGAGTGATGTGAACTTGGGGACCTCTTTGGGCAACATTCATCCTGATGCAGAGAAAGCTGGTCCATAAAAGAAGAGAAAATATATCAGAAACAGCCAGAAAGCTGGCCTTGGTTGAGTTTTGGGTTCTAACTTGTCATAAAATCTTATTCTTGGGTTTTGTGAGTGGCCCCCTAAGTCTCCTAACACATCTTTTTACTTAAGCTAGCTTGAGAGCTTAACCAAATGATCCCAAAGTAATGCAATGCCTTTTTCTCAAGGAAGAGGACTATCCCACATCCCTTTTCTCTTCAAACTGCCTTCCCCAACTGTACCTACAGCCACTCTCAAGGATCAAACATGTCATTATGAGAAATAAGAATGAAAAAGAATTTTAATTTCAGCTCCTTTTCACAGCAAAACCTCCTCAATAAGTTGTCTCCTCTCAGAGTCTGCACAGGTCACCTGCATTTCACTTGAGACCAGTCCAGTCTGCTTTCATTCCTGCCACTTCACTGAAATAATTTATCGAAGTCACCAAAATCTGTGTTCCCAAATATAACAGCCATTGCTGTGTCCTCACCTTACACAACTTCTCAGCTGTACCTGACACTACCAACCACCATCTCTTAAAACATTCTCTCCTGGCTGTTATAAAATCATATTTCCCTCCTGCCTTACTGACATCAACTGCCTCTATTGGACCTCTGAAAAGACAATGTCAAGGCTGAGTGTTGGATCCTTGTCTCCCTCCCAACATGAGCTCATCCAGTCCTGGGCTTTATGAATCCAAATGCTGTTTACCTAAATATCTGTACCTCCAGTATAAGTGAGAAGTTTTTATTTAAGGTTGACCTCTTTATTTAAGCTAGCTTGAGTTCCTTTTGTTGGCTACACAACCTAATAAGCTTTACTGTAGATTTACCATAACAGGTCTAGCCAAGCAGGGACAGAAGGGAAGAAGTAAGAGAGAAGTCCACTTACTTTTAAGTCTTAACTAAGGACCAAAAAAGACTACCATCACACACATCACCATGAACACATGTTGCCAAATGACAGCCTCATGTTGTTCACTCGAAAGCAGTTTCTGTGCTAAGCAGCCAGCACCTTTACTGTTCCTGAAGGAAGGGAAGGCTGTGTTAGGACTTACCAGCCATCACAGGGTAGTTGAAGTGTTCTGCTGCTGGATCTAGGTTGACCACCTGGACAGACCGGTTGAGGGCTTCACAGTGTTGGACCATGGTGGCACAGTAGGTGCTCTGCAGTGTCACAGGATACAATGGGTTAGAGCAACAGGCAATGCAGCGATACCCTCCATACCCATAAAAGGTTTCTCCAGACTCTCTGGGGCAAGATCTACTAAGGCCAAATCTATGCTTTCGTCAACCCTGATTATAGCTAGAAACAAAAGAAAAGGCACTGGACTAGGAATCAGGACACCTGTGTGGGCTGCAGATCCAGACTTGGTCTTGATTCTCTGGTAACCCTGGGAAACACTTCACTCTGCCCCTCAATTTTCTCATCTCTTAAGATGTTTTCCATGATCACTAAGACTCCTTACTGATCTAACATGCAACAAGTAGATTTTTTTTTTTTTTGGTGGTGGTGGTGCTGGGGATTGAATGCATGGCCCTGTGCATGCAAGGCAAGCATTCTACCAACTGAGCTATATCCCCAGCCCAACAAGTGGAATTTAAGGGAAGATTTCTGATTACATGGTGCAGCACCTAACACATAGTATCTCTTCTAGGACTCGTACAGTCCAAATGAAGCTTTAGGGTAGGATGGTCAAGGATGATGTCTCTGAGTAGGGGATATCTGAGCACAGAGGAATGAGCCTGCCAACCCAAGAGAACATTCCAAGAGGAGGGAACATCAAGATTTCAATGGCTCAGAACATGTTAATTAAAGCCTGAAGCCACCCAACACCTCCAAGATTCTAGTGTTTTTCCCACTTATGTTATTTGATCGATACCATGTCTACTATATTTTAGTGCCCTTAACATTATTGCTTAAATCTGTTTACAAGGAAAAATTGTGCTATTATTATAAATGGAAACCAATTATGATTATATTTATCATAAGGATGAAGGTATAAAATTACATACAACTTTTCTTCTGCCCTCCACAGTACTAGGGATTGACCCCAGAGCCTTGCATATGCTAGGCAAACAACCATTGGGCTACAGCCCCATCCCTTTTTATTTATTGAGACAGATTCTTACTGCTACAGGTTGGCCTGAAACCTGTAATCCTCCTGCCTGTCTCCTCAGTAGCTGAGATTTTCTTGGGCAAAGAACTTAACCTTTCTGTGTCTTCGTTTTCTCTTACCTGTAAAGCGGRCGGGGGAGGGGGGTAGGGAGGGTTATAGGATCTATCTACCTGGTTCTTATTTTGACACAAGGAGTCCTCAAATTGCCCTGGCTGGCCTTGAGCTTGCCATCCCCATGTCTCAGCCTCCCAAGTAACTGAGATTACAAGCATGTACCCCCACGGCCCATTTACATACAACTTTTCAATGCTTACAATCTTAGGCAAATACTGTTTCCTAGTAAAAGCTCTGAATCTAAAATCTGCCCTTTCCCCAAGACTGAGGGATTAGGGGTAGGGGCTGTAGATCGCTTGCCTAGCACGTGTAAGGCACTGGATTCAATCCTCAGCACCACATAAAAATATAAATAAATCAATAAAATAAAGGTGTGTGATCTACAACTAAAAAAAAAAAATACTTTAAAAAAAGACTAAGGGATTAAGTGAAGCTACACTAGGGCCAAATACAAACTCACCTCACTACAAAGTGAAGAACTGAAAGAATTGAAAAGGGAACAACTTTCCCAGTATATGACCCGACACCCTAATATGCAGTCCTCACACCACCTGATACCACCTATAATACCAAAAGTCCATGTTCCGACAGTAAAGAACAGTAAAGACCCTGTTTTAACCTCGGTGGCTCTGAGAAAAGGCCAGATTCTGGAGTTTGACAGCACTGGATTTAAATTCTGGCCACAACTTACTAGCTGTGCGACCTTGGGCAAAGAACTTAACCTTTCTGTGTCTTGGTTTTCCCTTACCTGTAAAGTGGGCAGGGGGTAGGGAGGGTTATAGGATCTATCTCACTGGGTTTCCGTGAAAATAAACGAGGTGGCTAGTGCAAAAGTATCCAGTAAAGATTAACAACTACATCTTTTCCCAACCAAACAAAACCAAAAGGGACACCGAAGCAGAGAAGCGGGGCGCCCAGGGTCTCAGGGTCCCTAGGACGCACACCCGCAGACCGCTCCATCGCTTCCCGAATCCCTGGCCACCCACGAACTACGACTTCTTTCTCCTCACCTTCCCGCTGCCTGCGGGGCCCATGACCAGCTGCGCATACCGAGGCATGCCGGCTCTCGGGTTTTCCGGGACCCTCCGCCACGCTCCCTTCAGCCTTCGCGCGACGCCCACTGAGTTCCGGGAACACGAAGCGCCAACCAATAGCAATCAACAGTCCGTTTACGCCTTTTGTTCGGCCACACTTCGGACTACGGAGAGTTCCGCGGACCAAATATCATGAGGAACGCGTCCTGGAGAAACGCGGCGAGGGCCTTRCGCATGCGCAGAAGCAGTGGGCAGAAATCGGCGGTTGGGAAACTTGCCAACCCTGGTTGCCTGGGGGATAACGGATAACGGATATCACTTAGCATCCCTCCGCCTGGTGCCGTGGTCCATGATTTTACTTACATGGTGACACCCAAGATTTGCAAATTTGCTGAGGGTCTGGAACGCTGACGTGGAGGACACCTTTTGTTTTAAGGAGCGCTTATGTTTCCTCCCTGTGACGCGTCCCTTCCATAAAAAGATGCTAACTTGCAGACGCTCGATCAACTAAAGGACTCCCGCCCCTCCCCCAGTTGAACTCCGGGGTTGTGGATCTGCCCTCCTCGCTCTCTCCCGACGCTACTCGGGCCGCGTCCGCACGGCGTCCGAGGGGCTAGAATTCGGCGTGGTCCTCTTTTTCACCCCAGTATCTCCGGGCCTGACGCACGCGTGCCGACGGGAGAGGGGAGAGAGGGAAGCTGCTCCCGCACTTTGCTCTCGGTCGCGGCACCGCGGAGATGCCGGGCCGGGGTCCCGGGTCCGACTGGACCGAGTGCAGCAATTCCGCAAAGCCGCCCGCTGTGCCCGGGACCGGGGGTGGCGGCAGCGGGTGAGGCTGCGGGCCCCGAGGGTTGGGGGTTCGGCTCCGAGCGTCAGCCCCTGCAGGGGACGGGTGGGGGCTGGCAGCTTTGCTCGTGGACTGGTCCTCTGCGCAGTGAAGTGAGGGGAGGGGAGAAGCTTTGTTAAAGTGGCCAGGATGGAAAATAATGGTGGMTGATTCGCTGTTTAGGGGAGGGGCTTGGTGCAGTGACTGAACGCTGATCACTGCGACAGTCGCCTGCGTGCATCTTTCTGCCCCTAGAGGGCGCTGCAAAACCTGCTGGGAAAATTGCGTGGAACTGAGTAGGCAGTAAACGTCCGGAGGGCTTCCAAGTCAATAAGCCAGTTCCTTGACATTAAGCACCATTCTGTTGGATTGGAGCTTGTAATAGCCAATGATGATGAAGATAGTTGAGATACTGAAGTCACTGCTGGAGGCTATCCTTATCCCATTCTTCCTTTGTTCCCTAAAAGCGAGAGTTGCTCGCGGTTTACAGTACAGTTCAGCCCATGGTCCAGGCTCCAGCTGCACCCTTAGCCAAAGGTTGCTCCTCCTCACCCGCGCGGCGCTGGGAATGGAATCCCAGGCCTCGTGCTTCCTGGGTAATCGCTCTGACTCTGAGCTATATCCACAGCTTTTTTATTATTTCGAGACAGAGTCACGCTAATTTGTGCTGGTCTGGAATTTGCAGTCCTACCTCTGTCGCTGGCGTAGCTAGGATTACAGGTGTGCACCACCGTGACTGGCATTATTATTATTATTATTTAAATATCTGGTGCTATTTAAAGACTTCTTAGAGGTGGGATGAGGTCGTGTGCTTTCCTCTTCTTCACAGTGCTTGGCTGAGTGCTGAATCCTAAGTATGTTAGATCAGTAAACTCATGGTCATTGAATAAATTGCAGGAAGTAGGAAGGGAGCAGGTTTTGTCTTAATTTGAGAAAAAGTCAAAAAGAATTCTTACGAAATCGGAAACATTACAGACTAATTTATCAGTTCCAGCACACCTTACTCTTCAAAGGACAGTCTTTTCAGTAACCAAATTACCTTATTAAAGAGCAAGGAAATGGGATGAATAACAGAAAAATCCAAACTACTTAATTGAGCTCACTGTAGGAATTAGATTAAGAAACTATTAGAGACCAAATCTAGCTTAAAACAAGTCCTTTAAAGTACGGTAGAAATTTCTGATAATTCACTTTGGAAAAAGCTTGGAGCCATTAGGTTTTAAGCAGACTGGCAAGAGAAAATTTTGCAAGATAGTCTGAGGGAAACATGAAAAGCAAAAAGCATATATGTTAATATCCTTTTCATTTGAAATACATTCTTTAGTGCTTATAAAGCTAATATTCCATATTATTTTTATCCTTTTTTTAACAGATCAGCTGGACTTTATTATCAGAATTACAAAGGTACTGGTGAGTAGTGCATACAGAGCAGATGACACAAATAACAGGGTTCAGAGAAACCAGTTTGCCTGTAACTACTTAGGCAATGGATTTTTTTTAAATAAGACTTAACTAGCATCTTTGGTAAACTGTCTTTAAGATTTTCAAGGCAATCCTTACCTGGGATTCCCTCTTACCCCTTCAAGAGTTCTGTTTCAGTCATCTCACTTGAATAAATCCTACTCCTTTCATTCTTGAAAAAAAAAATTTTTTTAAAGCTATCTGACATCAAATATTTTAAAAATTAACCATAAACTCTAAAAGGGCTGTGTTCAAAACTGATGGTTGCAGAGCACAGCCTGGGTTTTATACATGGATGGAAAGAAGAAGTTCTAAACTGAACAGCTTCAAAGTCCACAAAATATTTCTTGTCTGGGGATATTTTATTCATTTATTTAAATGTCGTGCTGAGAATTGAACCAGGGCCTCATTATACAAGCTAGGCAAGTGCTCTACTATTGAGCCACAACTCCAGCCCCAATACAATATCTTTTTATTTATTTGTTTTTATGTGGTGCTGAGACTCCAATCCAGTGCCTCACACATGCTAGACAAGCACTCTACTGCTATGCTATAATCCCAGCCCCAGTTTTTAAATTTTTGATTTAAATTCAATGATGCATAAACCTGGATTCTCTTTGCTTTTCCTTGGCATAGTCCCTGTATAATCCTTACAACTACCTAGGGAAAAAATTCACACCCATATATGTATATGTATATACATAATGTAAATATATAACATGGTTATGTATATATTTTACTTTGTGGGTTTCCCTCCACCAATTGGAAATTGAATTCAGGGGCACTCTACCACTGAGCTACATCCTCAGCCCTTTATTTATTTATTTATTTAGTTAGTTAGTTAGTTTTGAGACAAGGTCTAACTAAGTTGTCCAGGCAGGCCTTGAATTTGTGAGCCTCCTACTTCAACCTCCAGAGTAGATGGGATTACAGGTATATGCCACCATGCCTAGCCTTATCAAAATTCTTACTSAATTACAGTAAAATGTAAAAAATAAACAAAAGTAATAAGATTAAAACAACCCAGACGTGGAGGGAAATAATTTTAAAAAATTTAATTATTGGTATATTTGATAGATTGACTATATTTAAAAAGCAGCTGGGTACCCTCTTCAGTAATACACATACTAGAACCAGAATGATACAGAGAAGATTAGCATGACCCCTGTGCAAGAATGACATGCAAATTCACAAAGCATTCCATATTTTTAAAAAATTAAACCATAAAAAATAATTTAAAAGAAATTAAAAGCATCCAGGTACAGTGGCATGTGATGTTATGACTGAGGAGGTTGAGGCAAGAGGATTGCAAGTTTGAGGACAACTGGGAAACTTAGGAAGACCCTGTCTCAATAAAAAAAAAATTAAAATAGGCTGGAGATGTAGCTCAGTAGTTGAGTGTCTCTGGGTTCAATCCCTGGTACAAACCCCCCCCCCCCAAATTTCTAAACAAATATTGCCGCAAACTGCCCGGCCCCGGGCCGGCTGAGTCCCGCTCCTGCTGCCGAGCACTGCCTGCGGCACCCCTGCTGAGCGATTCCCTGCTGAGCTGTCAGTGCACGCGGGCTTGCAATCTTGCAACCCGGTTGGGCACAAAAACACAAGCCAGTCAAACTGAGACAAAGTTTTATTTAG